CGGATAACCACACTATAGCCTTCAATATATAGTCATAAATTATTTCTTGTCTGACTCAGTAATGAAAGGATTCCATGTAGTTAAATGTCAAAGTTGAGAACAGTATAGACAATATTAACCCTTACCTTTAGCACAATTACTAACATCCTCATCTGGCTGGGAATGCTGAGAATACATTTCATACATCTCTTTCAAACGGTTAGCAATAGCTTGTGTTGGATCTCGGGAACATGTCCTAAAAAAGTAATAAAAATTTATCTAATGTAAACATTTTGCCCAGTTATGCCAGGCGTGGTGGCACATGCCTTTAATCCCAGCACTCGGGAGTCAGGGGCAGAAGGATCTCTGTGAGTTCGAGGTCAGCCTGGTCTACATAGCAAGTTCCAGGCCAGCTGGTGCTACAGGAAGACCCTGTCTCAAAAAGACAAAAAAAAAAAAAAAAAAAAAAAAAAAAAAAAAACCAAAACATTTTGCCCAGTTATAAAGAGAAACAGTGTTTACAGCTATAAATTTAATGAACATATCAATACAAAATGCTTTGAATAGATACTATATACTTCTCAGATTAATATAAGAAATTCTATACTTTCTTTTCAAAGGTGGGAGTATCACCGTTTTGAGTGAAAAAAAAATGTTTACTGTGTGGAGATGTATATTTTACTGCAGTAAGTTCAACAAACTTAGTCCCAGGTTATTTGATGGTGTGACTGACTGCACAACCTTACACATGCCCAGTCATTAATGGCAACCAAAATTGCCCTCAGCTGATTCTCTAGAGGGCAGTAAAACTTCCAGGAAGAACTTCTCAAAAAAAACATAGAATAAAGGAGTGTAGAGCCTGTACTATAGACACAGGTAAACCAATGCTGGGATTTTGTTTTATTTCCCAAATTACATTTATCTTATTGATTGTTAAAAAATTTTTGTGTGGTTATTCATGTGTGTGTCAGATTAGGTGTGTGGGTGCCCATGTGTGGGTCCATGTTCAAGTGTGTGCACATATCTGTGGAAGCCAGAGATCAATTTTTGGTGTGGTTACTCAGAACATAACCACCCTGTGACTCAGTAAGCTAAAACGACTGGCCAGTGAGCTCCAGGGATTCATCTGTCACCTCCCCTACAAGGGGTTTCAAGCATGTGCCACCACACTGGTTTTGATGCTAGTGCTGGGGATCAATTTAAGGTCCTCATGCTTGCAAGGCATGTAATTTACAGTTGAGCTATATCCCTAGCCCCCTATTTTGTTGATTTTTTAAAAATTACCAATATATATTCATTGCAGAAGCATTATGCACATCATTACCATTGGAACTTTTGTAACAATCATTCTTTTTTAAATTTTATTTATTTTTATTTTATGTGTATGTATATTACCTGCATGTATGTAAGGGCACCTGTGTCAAGCAATGCCTGCAGAGGTCAAAAGAGTGCATTGGATCCCACGGAACTGGAATTATGGATGGTTGTTAGCCACCACATGGGTGCTGGGAATTGAACTTGGGGACTCTGCAAGAACAGCCACTGCTCTTAGCTGCTGAGCCATCTCTCCAGCCCAAACAATCATCTTTTTAATTTGACTGCATATATGATCACATTATAACAATTATATATATAAACTCCTTTTAATTTGATCATATATACTTATATGATCATATATATTCATTGCAAAAAAATGTAGCACATTTATAAAATTATAAAGGAACTAAAAGTTCCAATTTTGCTAGGGATAACTACAGAAAACTATATAATATAGAACCAGAATTTTATTTATGAATACATATACATATCTTAAAGTTTACCAAAAAATGTTGGTTTTACCCAGCATCTATTTGGCAATCTTTAATCCCACTAATGGTATTAAGATTAAAGATGTTATTGCATCTTCAACAAATGGTACTGGCAAAACTGGATCTCAACCTGTAGAAGAATAAAACTAGATCCTTATCTTTCACCTTGCAAAATTGGAAACTCCAAATGGATCAAAGACCTCAATGTGAAACTGGAAACTCTGAAACTTTTGGAATAAAACATT